GCTGCCAGGAAAGGGTGAATGGCCCCATCCCTTAGGCAGGTGTAAAACCACACCGAGAATGTGACATGAAATGCACTCACCTGTCCCAGAGAGCTCCCATGTGCTGTCACACCGTGTTCTCATTCTGTGATGGGTGCACCTGTCCAGCGTGAAGGTCTGACAAACAGCACTGAATGCCTACTGGGGCCAAACCAAAGAAAATTCCAGCTTCTCCATTCGCTTCAGAGAAAAAAAAAATCTGCAAGAAAGATTGCACTTCTTGTCATCAGTGTGCCTAAATGGGAAGAAAAAAAAAAAAAAAAAAAAAAGCAGGAATTTGGACATAATTAAGTAGTCACGTTCCTGTATAGAACGAGGCCCTAAACCTGCACTTCTCTGTTAACCTTCTGTAAGGGAACATAAAAAAGGCATTAAGAACCTGGTAGGGTCGTGCTGACAGGTGTATGGATGGAGAGCAGAGAACACATGTTTAAGCTGTCAGAGGGATGTGCATCATAAAGCTATGGGTTAAAATCAAGCCTCCAGAATGAATATGTGCTTGACCATCAGAAAACATTTTTAGCAGCCCTTATTAACATTGCCTCTCTCTTCTGAGCTTTGGGGGTATAACAGCCTCTCAAGTCTGCAGGGTAATTCTCATGGATTGTTTTTTAAATTTAAAGCTGGACAGAAAAATGTATGAAAATTCTTCTGAGTGAGGATAGATTAGATGGCCTGATAGACCATTTTCCTCTCTAATTTCCATTAAGGTGATTAGTTGGAATGTTGCTCTTGGCATATTAGTGGAAAAAACACTGGAAGCAGTCAGCGGGTGGATCCAATATCTCCAAATAATGTTTGTAGTAATAGCAGTGATATAAAAATCTATCTCAAGTATTTATATCTCTAATTACTGCCGGAGTGAATCACAATCTTTACTGTATGCACTTTGCAACACTCCCCAGGAGAAGGGATTTGTATCAACTGCTTCAAAGGAAAGGAGCAGCTATAAACAAGGATTTGGTTGTCTGGTGGGCGAGAGCAATCAGGAAAATTAATCTGAATGAACTGAAGCAGGAATTTAATTTGGATCCTTTTGCCAACTTACATTTTGCACATAATCCTCATTCAGGAGTGTCTTCCATTGAGCACAGAGCACTTGGCTCTTGCTGCGTACCTGTTGACACCGATATCCATTACCCGCTCAAAATGGATTAGTTGCACAATTAAATAGAGAATTCACTTGTGTTTTCCTATGCTCATGATTTGCCCAGTGTTTTAGAAATAACTACACAAAAGGTTCACCTCATTACAGTGGGAAAAGCAAAACGGGCAGGGATTGGTTTGGTTATTTGGTTTTGGGGAACTGTATCTGATAAAGTAGAATTGGGATGGCACAACCAGAACGAGCAAAGCGCTGTCCCACTCAGAAGGCACCCTCTGGTTGGTATGTTAAATACAACGTGTGTGGAAAATGCTATGAAAAGACCTTGGAAGGCCGGGAAAAGTTGAGGTTTCTACAAATTTTTTTCTTTCTTTCTTTCTTTCTTTTTTTTTTTTTTTTTTTGAGAATGCTTTCACCCTTTCCCGCAGAGCCCAGCAGCTCACACTGCCCTCTCCATGCTGCCATTAATATCCCTGCCTGCGACCCACTGCAGCCCTGCCCGGATCCTTCCCCATCCCTGCCCGCATCCCGCTGCACAGCCATCGGCCGAAGGTTTGGGGCTTTTCTTTAAGAAAGCATTTCGTTTGGGAAAATCGTTGGGAAAATGGTGTTTATTGTTTCTAGCTTTGTTTTAACCTGTGGTAAATTAGAACTAGGGGGGAAAAAAAAATCTATTGAAAAGGGAGAGAAAGAAAAAAGAAAAGGAAAGGAGGGTAGAGATGGGGACGCAAACGCGCAACTCTCCGGCCGTGCCGCCGCCTCCGTGCAGCCGTCGGGCAGGGAGCTGCCGCCCCAGCGCCGTCTCCATCAGGATCCCGGCACTCTGCCCGCCCCCGGCGCAGCCCCGCCGGCCCGGCTCAGGCTCACAGCCGGCCCCGCTCCCTCCGTCTCCTCCTCCCTTCCCGCTCGAGCCCGACCCGCTCCCTGTCCGCATCCCGGCCGATCCCCAGCACGGATCCCGCGGGCTCCGCGGTGCGGCGGGGCGGGGCGGGCAGAGCCGGGCCCTTCCCACGGGCCGCCCCTTCCCCCGTCCCACCCCACGCGCGTTCCGCCCGCTCTCCGCTTCCCGGCCTCTCTCCTTTCCTTCCACCCCACGCGCGTCCTCCCGCGCCCCACGAAGCCCCTCACTGCCCGCAGTCCGGTAGGGGAGCCGAAGGAGAATCTGCTAGGGCACAAAAGAAAAACAATCCTTTTTTTTTTTTTCTTCCCTTTCTTTTCCCCTTTCTCCCCGTGTGCCGCCCTCGAGATGCAGCGGGATGGGAGTGATGGGCTCCACGCTTCCTGCCAGCCCCGCACCGCGAGCAGCGCTCATCCAGAGCCGTGGGAAAGCCGCGGGTTCGGCCGCGTTCGGCTCGGGGGCAGCTGGGAAAGAGAGGACGCACGGTGTGCGTCGCGTTTCCTCCGTCCCTTTATCCTTTATCCCATGAAATAAGTATAAAGCATATTTTTACGACGGGAAAAGAAGAAGGAAAATTAAAAAAAAAAAAAAAGTAAAGCGGGGAAAGAGGAAAACGCAGGAAAGGAGAAATACGGCTTTAACTCGCTGCCGTCTGACAGGAACAACAACCCCTGAGCGGTTTTCCAAGCCGGGCTGTACCGCCGTCCCCGCACGTGGGAGCGCTGAGGGTGCCGGGTCGGGAGGTGCGGGAGCAATGAGCGCTGAGAGCCAGCGGGTTTGGCAGCGAGCTGAGGGCTGCTGGGACCTCCCGGGCTGCTCCAACATCTCAGCCCGCAGTGGGCAGTCGAATTTTACCTTCATCGAGAGACGATTTTGCAAGATCCGCGTTTATAGCTTTCCGAGCGGGCGGCGTTAGGGCTTGTTTCTAAAAAGCAAAACAAAACCAAACCACTGAAACATATGTTTTCCTTCCCCCCTTCCCTTAAAACTGCTATTTCCTCTATCTTCCGACGGTCTTTGCGCAACGCAACAGCAGAGAGGAGGCGGCTTGGGATGACCGAGAGGGGTAACCGAGCGCCTTTCGGATGAAGGAGAGCTCAGTGCCCCGCGCTGTGCGCTCAGACATCGCGGACGTTCGGTTTGTGGCACTCACGGGACGCGGCGGTTCCGCGTGAAGCCCAACGCCCAGAGCTCAGCCCGTGGCCCAGCGGGAGCTGAGGGCAGACCCACGCCCCAGCCGGGGCAGGGCCGAGTGGAGCCGGGGGCTGACTGCCTTCCAGTGCTTTCCTTTCTCTCCTCCCTGGCTCGGACCGCGCACCGGGGGCTGCTCTGCCCCGCACCCAGCCGAGCGCATCCCCACCCAACCCTGCTACTGAACTTCCCGGGGCCACAGACACAGCCGAGCAGTACTCAGCATTTTCCTCTCTGATTTCAGGTATCCTCCAAGACCCACTTGCTCAGGCATTGTGACATTTTGGCATTTCTGCTTCCCCCGATGGAAGCATCGTTGCTCTGACCAGAATCCACTTGTAGGAACAGGGTGACCCCCGAGCCCCCCTGCCCCAGCACACACACATACCCTTCCAGCCCAGCTCAGCACTGCCTGTGATTAGTCTGCTTCACGCCTTTGCAGGGACTCCAGTGAAGATCAATGAGAGCCTGAAGGAGTTGAAACTCTTGTCCGTACCCAAGAGGACATGGGGATGAAACACGATCATGGGAGGGCCTTTCCTAAGGCTCAGATGTCCTGCATCCCACCCAGAGGGGTTTGCAGCAGTCCTCCTCCCAATAGGGAGCACATCTCAGTGTTGGTACATGTGGGAGAACTCAGACCCCCAAGCAGCCTTCCCATCCCAGCCATTGTTATGTCCTGGACTTCCCAATCCACACTACATTTCCTGCTCCACTTTTACCCAGGTCAAGGCTTGGCCGTTCAGTAGGGGAGGAGGCAGGATCCCCCCACTCCTGGTACCTGCTGCCTCCGGCACCTCTGCATCGCACATCCTTGTAGAAGCTCCCCCGTGCAGAGACTTGGATTGAAGATCTCTCGCAGACCTTTGTTCCATTTTCTACCAGGAGGGGCAGCTCCCTCCCTTCTTCCCTTTCTTGGTGGATTTTGAGTGACAAGGATGGAGGGAGGATTTGAGTTGTTTCCCCCTTCTCAAGTGTCAAAACCTCGCAGCCCTTCTCACTACTAGCAGCCATCCACATGGGCGAAGTCCTGCTGGGAACCCGTCCCTGGCTCCTATAAGTGAGGGAGGATGCTGCAGGTGCAGATCTACAGGGAGCCCTGAACCACAGCAATGCCTGGAAGCTGCTGCTGCTGCTCACAGTGCTTCTCTGCTGTCCTTGCATTTAGCATTCATAAGGACAGAGGAAAGAAAAGGGCTGGGAAGTGCACAGGGACTCACCATGCCATCAGATGAGCGTGTGATTGACACACTCAGTTTAAAGGAACTGGGTTCATCAGGAGCTGAGCAACCATACAGAATGCACACTGTGTCTTCTGGAGCCCCTTGTGCCATCGTGTGATCAACCACAACTGATCTATCGGAGCCCCAAACCCATAAACATCACAGGAGAAGAACAGAGACTATGGGAATTGGTGGTGCAAAGGGGAACTGTTAAAGTGCCATACCCAGAAGTTCAGGTACCTGTCCACATAGCAGAGAAAACAAAACCAATGCTTCTCCCTTTCCACAGAGCCCATTAGCCCCCACCAGCCTTACCTGAGGGAAAGGCCCACCTCTGCGAGTACACAGTGCATGATACACATCTGCCCTGCTGTTCTTTACACCACCCACACTGATAAGCACTCATTCACAAACACACCCAAAGAGGAAAAGAGAGGAAAGGAGAGCTTCACCAGGACCAGCTTCCCTCCATCTGCTCTATTAAGCAAATGGACGTGTTGTATATATATATATATATATATATATATATATATATATATATATATTTAACCAAGTATCAACAGGTTAAGAAACAGGCTTTGGAGAACTGTATTTAGATTTACAAACAACATTGTAACTGGATCAACAGGCTATAATTAGAATTTAATAACTCAAGTGGAGGAGTAATGCGCCCGCTGCTTGAGAAATTGGAGCCTTTCTCTCACAGTTCCGAGCGTTCAGCTCCACAGATTGGTCTCCAACTTGCCTGACACAATTACTGTCCTGGTGAGGCAAACATGCTGCAAATAAGAACAATGAGACCAACAATAGTCGAAGTCTAATACCGTAAACAAAGGGAATAATCAGAACACCTCCTGCCCCGGTGGGATCTGCACAACTGGGACAACCAATTAGTGTCATTAATGAACAACAACAACAACAAAAAAGTAAGGAAATGTTATATTTTAACATAGTTCTTAGAAGGCTTTGATGCTGGCAAATGCATTGCAGGCAATTCTGCACTGCTGGCTGTGAGGTGCATGGTGGCATTTATCTCTGAGGCCACCTGAGCCAGGCTGACACCCAGCAGAAGTGACAAAGGGGAAGAAAAACCAATGTGAACCAGATTCCTCCCCCCATCATTTTTGAGGCTTTAGGTGCAACGTGAACAATGAAATGAAAGATCAGGCTGAAGGGAGCAGTGTGTGAGCTGGGTGCATCCTGGGGGGGGGGGGGGGGGGGTCAGTGCTGGCCCTGCAGCTGGGGACACAGCACAGCCCTGGCACAGGAGCTCAGTGCAAGGCCCAGGTCCCAGGCATCTGAAGGGGAACTTGCCTCTCCCTGCCTGCTTTTATCTCATTGTAACCCAGAGCTCAGGTAGGGCTTTTTCCACAAAGTTCTTTCTTTGGGGGGTTTCCTTCTCACCGTCTCTCCCTTGCTTGTAAAAGGAGAGGGCTTTTCAGTGCTGGGCTAGACGGGAACTCCCAAAAAGCAGCACCCAGGAAAGCAAAGGCAATCACACGCAGGGCTGATAACATCCCAGGCTGCTGTCTGCGCTTCTCTGTGATGCCAGCTCCCAGCAGCCGAGGATTGAGGCCGTGGACGTGGCCAGCTCACCCTTCCCAGCACTGTCAGCCCCTTTTAATACCCGCTCGTGGTGCGACACCTAAGAGGAGGTGACACATCGAGGCGGCTATCTGCGCGCCCCACAGCCAGCCTGCGCAGCGCCGCCGGTGCCGCGGTGGGCTACGAGCGCCCTCTGGCGGCGGCTCCAGGGATGACGGCACGGAAACGCTTGGAATTATTTCCTCGCTGCCGAGATTCCATCTTCGGTTCAGGAAGCCTGGGAACTTCAGATGGCTTGAGGCTAAAAGGTTGCTCTGGGAAAATATCACTCCACGCATACCGCGCTCTTGTACCCTTTCCCGAGCAGCTCCTAACGGGGAGGAAGGGGATGTCAGGCTTCTGCCCTCGACTTGCTCCGGGCTGATGGCAGCAGATGTTCTACTTGAGAACCACTGCAATTGGGTTCCGCAAGCAGAGAAGCCAGGGTGCATTTCTCATTTCTAAACGTAGACATGTTGGGTTTTTTTGGCTGTGAATTCAGTGCTCTGGCTGCTTGATCCTGCACCACAGTTCACCCCTTCTCTGCCAGCTCTGCACAACTGTTTGCAGGAATCTGCTATAAGGTGGGCATGCACACGCATAGGTGAGAACATCTTATGTCACCTTTCTCCTTCAGAAAGGTACATTTTTCCTTGAAAGTAGCTCAAACAGGTTCTATGGCACAGAAACTCTCTGGCACTGCATGGCCATACAGCCAACATATTCATCCTCAGTAGGGTCGTCTTGCTCATTGGAATGTTCTGTGCCTGTTATGTAGCGTGTGCTCAGTTGAAGGTGTGGATGCTGTGGAGTTGCCTTGGGAAAGCAGCCAGCTGGAACTGTTTTCTGCTGTGTGAGCAGTTGAGGTGTCCTGATCCTCACTGACCACTCAGAGGGCCACCTGGGCATGACTACAGCCACCTGTCCCCTCTGGACCTTCCTCCAAGGTCACCTTATTATGAGGGGAAGAACTGCATGGCCCTAGGAAAGAAGGTGGCCAGAAGCATCCCCAAGAAGAAGCAGGGTGCACGTGATCTCAGCTTGAACCTTCTGGCTGACACGCACCATACTGCAGATCTGCAGACTAAATATTGCATGGATGGTCACTAGTGGAACTGTATCCATTGCGTGCACTGAATGAGGCCACAGTCCTCAGGGGGAAAAAAAAAACGTATAGGATGTGTTCATACAAATTAAACAGAAACTCCATGCAAATGTTTGAGGGGATGCACCAACATTACAACAGCAGCCTTAACACAACCTTCAGACTTCTGAGCATTCAACTTTCCCATCTCAAACATGTTACAAAAATAGATCATGATTCTACCCTGGGCTTCCCTCTGCAATGTTTTATGGTGAATGTGTTGTACATTTCTCCTGCAAAACAGCAGAGACAGAAAATAGGAGAGGAGCCAAGCAGCAATCAGGAGTGTGGTTTGAGCAATGGGCCTACAGACAGAACATCTACAGTGCCTTATCAGAAAAAAACAAAATAATTAAAGAAGACAGTTCTGCTTTATACCCATTAAAATGGGTTAAATAAGTTTAAATGAAAGCAGAGTCCAACCAAGTTCTGCTACATATCAGCTATATAAAGAGCACTAAGTTGAGAGCTTAATTGGTATAAATGCAGTATTTCTGTTATTAGTGCTGGACTGCAAGCAGCTTCACTCTGAAATTACTGAGCAAAAATGATGATAGCTTCAGAAGGGTGAAAACTGCAGAGGGCTCTTCCTGAGATAATTTACTTCTGTTTACATAAACATCTGACCACAAAGAAGGAGGTACATTCTCAGCAATGCTGAAATGAGATTTCAGGAAGGGGCTCTTGTAGCAACACTCTCCCTGGGCACTTGAGAACAAACCCCAGCTCTGTCCAAGACGCTTGTTCGGAGATGCCTTACCTGTTCTTTCATACCCTAGAACATCATGAGGTTTTTAGCAATTCCCTCATTCAATTTAGAAGTGTTTCTATAAATACTGGTCTGTAACACATTTCAGCAGCCCTCTAACTCCTTCCCAGGGCAGCTCCTACAGCTATGCAATAATCCCAAAGGAATCAGTTGCTCACCTGAGAGCAGTACTCAGAGATCTACCCCAGCAGACAGCACACCATTCCAACTCCAAGAGCCTGTATCACCAATGCTTGTAGCTGCAGGATTCATAGTTAATAATATAAAATATAAATCTGTCCATTTAGCCCCCAGACTTTGGGTCCCCACTGCAGCTTCTGTAACCTTTTTAAGCTGAATTCCCACTGGGGATTTGTAGGGCTGTAGGCTGTGCAGCTCAGCAGCTGTGGAAGGTTTGATCTAATGACTAATTAACTTTGAGATGGTTGTTTTCTAATGGTTGTGCTTGGGCAAGGAAACAAAACATAGAGTAAGAATTACAGATGAATGTAGGTTGGACTGGAGATCTCTGGTCCCAACTTCAGAATTAGGTCATGGCTTTAACCATCTGACCAATGAAAGTCTCCAAAGGTTGAGATTTCACAGCCTCTTGGTGTTCCTGTTCAGCTGTTTAATCACAGTCATCGTGATCCTTTCCCCCCTTGCATCCAACTGCATTTTTCCTTGCCATTGCTTCTTGTCTGTAAGACCTTGTGGCTCTATGGCTGTTGCAGGATGGTCATTGCAGAAGTGGCCTAAAGCAGTGGTTTGGTGCATGCCAGCAAGCTTTCCTGAAAGCATAATTACACATCTCCCTGGCCAACATCACTGAAGATAATGTATTGGCTCTGCAGCAGTGGTTTTGCTGGCAAAGAACACAAGGTTTGCTTTAGACACCACTTGCCAAGGCACTTATGGCAGCAACATTTTGTTGAGAGGGCCCAGTCTGGCAGATTTTACTGATATGGTTGTGTTGTGTTTCCAACATTTAGACACAAAGGAGACTCCTGACGTGTGGAAATGAGACAGTGGGCTTTGTGCCTGTGTTGCGTACCACACCTCTGAGCTATTCAAGATATGTCTTATCACCCAGACAAGCTGATCTGAAAGTGTAATGTAATGGCGTCTGTCCTTAGGCCAGAATTTCAGCCAGCTGCTAGTATTCTAACAAGCTGTTGATGTCCTGTGCCTATAAATGGTCAAGAGGTATTTGGATATTGTCCTTAATGATATGCTTTAACTCTTCATTAGCCCTGAAGTAGTCAGGCAATTGGACTTCACCGTCTTTGGAAGTCTCTTCCAACTGAATTATTCTATTCTATTCCATTCCATTCCACTCCAAATTATCTGGTGTTGTGATCAGATATCTCTTCTCTCAGGACTTCTGGGCACTAGCAGCTTAAAAAGAAGGGAAGGGGCTGCATGGGATAACGAATTTCTTTGACCTCCCCTTAAGATAGTATGATCCAGGGAGAAGCACACTCAGCTCTGCACGCTACTGAAATTTGGTGGGTATATGCAAGCCTCCACAGGGACTGTTTTCTTATAATTTAGAAGAAAGTGCTGGCATAATGACCTAGAAATGCTGGCAGGCATGATGTGATACACAGCTGCAGCAAGCCGATGCCATCATGCTGCCAGCTGGAGGTCAGTGGCTGAGCACTTTGGAAGAGTGCACTGGTGAACAGCACGAGAACAGCCATCACCTGTAGTTCTCATGTCACCAGCAGTTATCCTAAATGAGCTGGAAAAAGGCAGCAATGCTCAGAAGGCATTATAAGGTACTCTATGAAGACACACAGCCACCTCCAGCCCTGCTTCCTCCCTGCTGTGCATGTCCAGGACCTTAAGGTGAAGTGAAATCCCTGCTATGACAGCTATGCAAATGCTTCTCAGAACTGCTCAGCCCCTGACCCTTTTATTTCTGCTTTGTTTCTCACATCTTTTAGATTAGTTGAAATCTGAATTCCCACCTTACAGTCCAGCCTTGCAATGAGCTGTTCTACCCTAAAACTTCATCTCTTACAGTACAATACAGGTAGGTCTTGACTGGCATCAAGGAATGACTCTCCTTCAATTTATATTCATCCTGCAGTTAAGCTTCTCCCTTCATTTCCCCCAGGTTCCCAAGTGGCTGTGGAGAAGGCTATGTTGGGTCAGTGCCACTTCTATGGCTGTTGGCTGGCAGCTGGGTGCCAGACTGCTGGGTGCCAGGCAGTCTGGGCAAGCACTGCGGTCCCTGGGGATGGAGCAGCCTTGGTGAACCTTCTGGGCTTGTGGCACACTTTGGCCTGGGTGACTCATTCTGAAATGCTGCTAGATAATTCATTTTTTATTGAGATGAGTGGAAGAAAAGACTTCATTCCACATACTCAATTTTTATAACAAGATCCTCAGAAATGATGGACAATTTTGTATGCATTTTAATACCACTAAGGTGGTAAAATGTTGTTTACTGCTGACTAAAAAGCTCTTAGGAGCTATTCCCATGCTAAAGCCATTTTAAGGGCCAGCATAACAAGGGATAAGATAATTAATGGTGTATTAGCTGAAATGGGTAGGATAGGGATCAAAAAGTTCATGTATCTTTGTTCAAAGTTGAAAGAGATCGATAGAACTGAAAAAAAATTGTAGAGAAGTGTCAACTCAATGATGGCCCATGGCACACCCATCTCTGAAATGATCTTCCACTCCCCAAACCCGCAGCAACTAATGAGTGGTAGGATAATGGGAATAAAAATATCATGAGTGCTTCATTCAGAAATGGCCAGAGAAATCACTTAGAGCGTCATTAGAAACATCAGGATGAAAGTAAGTGATGGAAAATTCATCTTGAAGTTCAAGAAACTCTGCGCCGTTGACATAAATCTACTTCTGACTGCCAGTGATGGGGAGCAGACAGGTGTCTGATCGTGTCCTGCAGACTGTGATTTCTGCACTGCAGTGGATGGCTGAGGGCAGAAATTACTGCAAATAGTGCAGTTTGGGGATTAATCGTTCCAACTACAGCTTTGATCTCAATGTTATTGGTAACGTTTAGCCAGTAGTACATCCTGCAATACACGGCTAATTCTCCCTGTTCTGTTTAAGTGAACATGCATCTGACACTGGAAATAAGTTCAGTGGATGGTTTTACATGAACATTTTGCATGCTGAGAATTGAGAGGGTCTCCGGCACTTGCAGAGACAATGTGGGATGCATGCTGGTGGATATTTACAGCTAAAAGCTTGCTCCTGTATTAAAGGTTTTACAATCCTCTCTTTTAAACTGCTTATGTGTGTATGGTGCCACATTAATAATAATAAAGAATAAATCTCTTTTTATTTAAGAAGCTGAGTAGACTTGTCATCTTGAATCTAAGGTATTGGGTTTTTTTGCCAGTTCAAATAGTGTAAAATTGCTCTGTTGACATGAATCATGATGCTTAGCTTTTATGCAGCATATAATTTCACATGCTCTAATGTTAATTAAATTCCAAAGAAGCAGTTTTCCGATCTCTCCACGGGGAGCTTGTTTGCCTTAAAATGAAACTACTGGGCTGAGATAGTCTCCACTATACCAGCATTACGTTCACTACATTAACTCAGTAAAGACTTTGGCATAAGACATGTAGCTGAACCTCAATAATCCCCTTTGCTTATCTGCCAGCCCAGGGCTCCTGCACCGCGTCTCATTTGTGGCAGGGTCTTACCCAGTGACTCACAGCAATGTTAACTTCCTTGTAACACCAGAAGGCGTTATTGCATCCTTGAAATGAGTCACGCAAACAAATGAGCAATGCACACATTGCTGGGAGGTAATGGTGGCTGGGCTGTTTGCAAAGCCTTCCCCACACTAATTAAGAATTGCTGTGCTGCGTCTGACAGGGGCTGATTTCCTCTTCCATGGCCCTTTAGAAAGAGAAATCTGGGGGCTGAGTGATGTTTTCTGTTCAGAAGTCGCTTCCCTTCTTGGTCCCATCAGGATGGAGTCTCACATACTGCATGGTCTGATTGGAGGATGGAGGAGGATGAAGGAGGGAGGCAGTGAACAAAGGCTTGCCCTGCTGATCAGCCACCAGGTGAAATCACAGAATCACTAAGGTTGGAAATGACCTCTTAAGATCATCCAGTCCAACCCCAACCCATGCCCACTACCCACGTCCCTCGGTGCCACATCTCCACAGTTCATGAACAACTCCAGGGACTCCACCACCCCCCTGGGCAGCCTGTGCCACTGCATTACCACTCTTTCTGAGAAGAAATATTTCCTAAAACTCAACCTGAACCTCCCCTGGTGCAACTTAAGGCCATCACTTCTATAGCTGTTACCTGGGAGAAGAGGCTGACACCCACCTTGCCACTACCTCCTTTCAGGCAATCAGAGAAAGTGCTGTGGTCTCCCCTGAGCCTTCTCTTCTCCAGACTAAACAAACCCAGTTTCTTTAGCTGCTCCTTATAAGTCAGGGGACTTGGGTGTTTTCTAGCTATGTGACTTTCATTTGTGCTAAAAATGTACTGGTACTCAAATCTTGGCTACTCCTGGGGCATGGAGTGATGTGAAGTGTTTGTCTCTCATAAATGAAATGACAAGGCTGTGTACTTGGCTCTTGTGTGAACAAAGAATGAGATAGGAAATGCTCTTATTCAGAGTGAGAGTCTTGGACATCTTTGGATCCACTTAGCATTATGTGTGGTGCCAGAATGCTCATCCTGAGTGCCCTCAAATATTCCCAGAGGTTACAAGCTCAAGCACTCATCTCAAGAAAAAGCTGAGACTTTTACAAGTGGATACAAAGCAGGCTGGGGAATCCAACAGACAGTTGAGGTTGGGAGGAAAAAAATAACGGCAGAGAACCTGGAAAGCACATGGGGAACTTTCAGCAGGCTGTGCACACTGTGCCTGTTTGTGGGCTGACATCACCACAGGGTGTGATGGGTGCTATTATTGCTACTTGGATTTGGTTGGTTGGTTGCTTTTGGTTTTTGCTTTGATTTGGATTACTTTGCTTGGGGCTAATATCACCATCGTACACCTTCCTGGTTTTACCTTTGTAAGCTGAGAAAATCAGATAAAGTATGAATTCTAATGTGCATGGAATAATTAAACCTTACATCTGTGGTCACAAACTTTCCTGCCAAGCAGCTCCTTCAGAACATTCACATTTGCCCTCATCAAAGTGATGGAAGTTGGGAAAAGTGCATGTTTGCTGTCCATTAACATGAATAGGAAATGTGTATTGCAAAAATCCATCTCAATACAAGTACCAGTAACTCAATTTGGAAAAATTTGTGGTTAGTAGGATTTGCTTTTAAGCAACTGAATTCAAATATGTAATACAGCAGTAGTGGGAAAT